CCCCCCCAACCCCACCCCCACCCCTCCAACCCCCCACCAGTGGTGGACAGCCGGGGCTGCGCGGGGCGGGCGGGCTGTGTGAGCTCACGCACCACCGGGCTGGGCTGGTCCTTGGCACAGCCCCACCTGTGTGGAGCCAAGGCTCCTGTCTCCCAGAAGGGTCAGCTGGGAATGGGGGGCTGCCCCCAGGGCCCCGAGGAGGGATGGGGAGAGACATTTCGTCCTCCGGAGCCAGGAGAGTGAGGGGCCGGACGAGTTTGGCCCATGGCGCTTCCTGGCACCCTCCGACTGTGCTGGCTCGGTGTGGCCGGGAGCTAGTGGCGCGTGTGTCCTGGCCTGTGAGCACATTGGCTGTTGGTTCCACAGGGATCTGACAGTGGGGGCCGTCCTAGAGCAGGGCGTTTGCTTTGGTTTTGTGGCTGGTTTTATCAGCAGTTCCTGGACAGGACCAGCAGTGGCAGCGTTCACGGCTTCAGCTTTAGCGCCGGGTATTGAAGGAGAGTGAGTCTGTGGGCAGGGCCCGACGTACACTGGCTCGATTTAGGAATCTGATTTCGGTGGCGTGTGAGCAGGGCGCATTCAGTAAAAACTGCTTTGAGTTTTGACCGTCCCCCAGCTGGCCATGTGAGGCCAGTACGCTCGGGTGATGAGGGCGGTGACCGCAGCCCCGGCGGGCCATGTGATCAGGAGGCGCCGGACGCCCTGAGGGGTCAGCGTACAGGCGGTTTTGCTAGACGGTGGGCTGGCGTGAGCGTCTGGCAGGTTAAGGCAGGCGAGGCTGCGCCGCTTGGTCGTGGATTCTGTGGGAAGCGCACTCTCCACCCAGGATGTTTCCAGCACATGGCGGGTTTGTTGGGAGGTGACCCCGTCTGAAGCTGAGGACCATCTGTGAAATTTGTTTCCAGCTGTGTAAACGGTTGCAGAGCTACGGAAATAAAACCTTTCAAATATACTCTTGAGGAAGAAAAGCAGATTGGATAGCTCTTTAAGTGCATTTCGGAGGAGGCCGAACTGAACCAGGAGAAAGCCCAGCTCTGAGGCAGCGGGCGCTCCCCTCCCCCACCCACCCGACTTCTCCAGGCAGCGTTGGCCAGCGCGGGGGGTCACTCCCTGGCCCCTGTGGTCAGTGGGGGCCTTGTCCACCCAACAAGTCACTTTCTAGTCAAAGGACTTGCTTTGCCTGTGCATGTGTGAGAGCGTGGGGGAAGGTGGAGTCAGGTGGTCGGAACGTGCCTGCACACAGCCCTTCCAGAGCCCAGCTGGGCTGCGGCCGAACTAGGATGGGGCCATCCTCTGTCGTGGGGTTGTCAGATGCACACACTTAGAAATGTTCTGAGCATAGGCACCTGCTACGGAATCAACTTCGCAAATTCTTCATTTAAATGTATGCCTCTGGGAGCATAAGGGAGAAGAGATCTGCCTTTGGTTCTGACTGTCGTCCTCAGGCCCAGGAGGAGGCTAGCGGTGGCGTCCCCTTTTCTCTGGCCCAGGCACCCCTGGCTTAGCGACGTTAGTGGTGGCATTCCCCTGTCTATCCCAGGCACACCTGGCCTAGCTGGTGTTAGTGGTGGCATCCCCATCTCTGGCCCACAGAACCCCTCTGATCCACACACACTCTCGGGTCCACATGCCACACAGCTGAGCCCGTGGCAGGTGCTTAGTAGAATCACGTGAAGAGCCAACACCCCCGCTCCTAGCCACCTCCCCTCGCCCGTCTCAGCTGAGTCTCCACTGTGTCTTTCCCACCCTCTCTCTTCCACGCCCACCTTGGGCCCACCAGCACCGTGGGAGAGCCCAATGCTGGGTGCAGCCTCGATGCCATCCGGGCCCCTGATCTTGTCTCTCAACCGCTCTTGCTTTACCGGGAGTGGACGGATGAGAACAGATGACTGCCTGCAGAGTGAGGGCTCCTCCTCTTCGGAGCACTGTCTCATCTGAGTGAGTCCAACGCTGCCCCAGCCAGAACTCAAGGGGACCACGAGGCCACCCTTGGCCTCCTGCTGGGAGAGGTCTGCGTTCCTGCAGTGAGCACGCCAGGTGACCTCCAGCACACACGGGCTGTGGGCTCTCTCTTGGAAGGCAGTCAGTGGCCCTGGCTTCCCACCTGGATCCCACCACTGCAGAATCACCCCCGTGACTGCCCATGCGAGCAGCTTCCCGTCACTCACTTCTTCCTGGCTGCTGCGGGCTGTGTTGTGACTTCCGCCACCGACCGCCAGCTCTGCTTCTGCCACCGACCGCCGGCTCTGCTTCTCCCACCGACCGCCGGCTCTGCTTCTGCCACCGACCGCCGGCTCTGCTTCTGCCATTTCCTTGCCGCCCATCAGCTCTTGGGGCTTTTAGAAAGAAGTGTGGCTGGCCGGGCGCGGTGGCTCAAGCCTGTAATCCCAGCACTTTGGGAGGCCGAGATGGGCGGATCACGAGGTCAGGAGATCGAGACCATCCTGGCAAACACATTGAAACCCCGTCTCTACTAAAAAAATACAAAAAAACTAGCCGGGCGAGGTGGCGGGCGCCTGTAGTCCCAGCTACTCGGGAGGCTGAGGCCGGAGAATGGCGTGAACCCGGGAGGCGGAGGTTGCAGTGAGCTGAGATCCGGCCACTGCACTCCAGCCTGGGCGACAGAGCGAGACTCCGTCTCAACAAAAAAAAAAGAAAAAAAAAAAAAATGCTCGGGTCAGATTGCTTTAGCTGGCCTCAGCAGGGTTGGTGTGGGGTCACCACCACCTCCATGCAGTGCACCATGTGACCTCAGCAGAAGGAAGGTGCTCCCCCCATTCACCCAACGTCCACAACTCAGTGGTTTTGAGCAGGCCCAGAGTTATACGACATCACTGCAATCACTTTCATCACCCTGTACCCAGAGAAGACCCGAACCCACTCCAGCCTCTCCCCACGCCCTGCAGTGGCTGCTCCGCCAGGCTCTGTGGCTCTGCCTAGTCTGGACGTGTCACGGAAATGGTCATGGAAATGGACCTGGGCATGCCACGGCCTTTCGTGCCTGCCCTCTCCCCTCAGCATCGTCTCCACAAGGTGCACCCACGCAGTAGCACGTGGCGTTGCCTCCTTCCTGCGCTGAACCCCACTCACTGCGCCCACTGCCTGGAGACCGCACTGCTGCATCCACCCTCAGTGGACATAGGGTGGCCTCTACTTTCTGGCCATTGTGAATCGTGCTGCTGTGAACACCTGTGAACCCGCTTCTGTGTTCGTTCCTCTTGGGCAGGTGCTCAGGGCGCAGCTGCAGGTCCGGTGGTCTCGGTCTCGCCTTTCAAGGGGGGCCACCTGTTCCTGCAGCGGCTGCTTTCTGGTCCCTTTGGGGGCCCCCTAGGTGCTGTGCTGGACTTAGTTCCATGGGCTGTAGCGGGCAAAGCTTGAGAACAGCCCCTTGGTGGGTGTCAGCTCCGCGTGGGAGCGGGGCATGCGTGAGGCCCTGGGCCCCACCTGTGGACTCAGTGTCTCTTTCACGGACTGTGGGGAAGGCGGTGGGAGCAGCAGGGTGGATGGTGAAAGGACACAGTGCCCACCCCCCGAGGGTCCGAGGGTAGAGCTGGAACGGGGTCACAGTCACCCCAGAGCCGCCTCAGCCCCTCCTGGCCTGCCCCCAGCTGAACCAGCACTGCTCGGGCAGTTGCTGCCACTGGGGTGTGGCTCTGGGGCCCAGCACCAGGTCCCCAACCCTGCTTTCCTCCTGGAGCCCGGCCTCTCTGCACGCTGCCCTGGCGAAGAGAGGCGGTGTGTGCCAAGGGCCCCGCCAGCAGGGCAGATCCACCTTCCTTGCCCCTGCACCGGGAGGTGGCGCCCATCTTGTCGGGAGCTCCCATGGGTCGTGTCCAGACGCCACCCTCCACCAGTCCAGGCGCATCCTCAGGCTCCTATATCCTGAGTCCTCCAGTTCGGCTGTGGGAGCAAAGGCCGTGGGGAAGTTGCTGGGCCTGTCCCGGGTGAGCTTTGAGTGACAGACAGGCTCATTCTGAAGGAACTGGGCCCGGACAGCACGTCCTGGCCTGCTGACTGGGGCTGCCACTCTAAGAGGGTCCCCATCCCTGCAGGACCCCTGGTACTTAGTGCATCACAAAGCCCGAGTATTTGTGGATCACGTGACGTGTGCTTGTGTGTATCAGGAGTCTGGGATTTGAAGTGATGGATTTCCCAGCGTGGTCCCAGCTCCCCACTGATGTGAACGGGGTGGCAGGTTAACAGCTGAGCCACCACCTGCTGCCCAACCCCATGCGTCCCCCACAGCCGGGCGGTGCTGCGTTAACTCATCTCCCCCTGGATGGAAACGTTCGCGTGGTGACAGCCTTTTCTCTTGAGAGTCATTTGCTGCCCACATTGCTGGAGATTCTGCCTCAGGGCCAGGAGCAGTTTGCCCCTCCCACCCCCATCACGTCCATGACGTGGGCCCGGGGCTGCCGGTGGGAGGCTGCCGGGAGGAGCGAGGACTCTGACGTCCATGACGTGGGCCCGGGGCTGCCGGTGGGAGGCTGCCGGGAGGAGCAAGGACTGTGACGTCCATGCCGGTGGGAGGCTCCCGGGAGGAGCGAGGACTCTGACGTCCATGGCGTGGGCCCGGGGCTGCCGGTGGGAGGCTCCCGGGAGGAGCGAGGACTCTGATGCTTCGTGTTGTGGGAGCCTCAGGACTGCCCCACGCGCGACAGGCATGTTCCTAGGAGCTCGGCGGGAGGAACCCGGCCACGTCGTGTGCTGCGCAAGGAGCCGGTGGCAGGGGAGGGGAAAACGGAAAGACACAGAAGAGGACAGGTGACAAGAGGCCACAGAGAGATGGCCTGTGTCTGGGCGGGGGGTGGGAATGGGCGGGAGGCAGTTGTGGGAGATGTGGGGCAGTGGAGGCCGTCAGAAGTGGGGATCACAGCTGTGACCTCATGGAGAGGGACAGGCCCCACAGCTGGGTTGGTGCCGGCCCCACTACCCAGGGCCAACCTGTGTGGCTGTAAAACTCTCAAGCCTGGAGTGTGTAGAAGGCAGCAGTGCCCTGGCCTGGCCACCCACGAACCCCTCTGTCCACCCCATGCTGCGTGGCACAGGGCAGGCGTGGGGCCTCCAGCTGGAGCCTTGAGTGGTGGAACCTTGGTGGGGCTTTAAGGCCGACCTGTGTGTTTATGAAAATGCGTGGGGACCAGCTGCAGACACACAGACAACTCGGATGCACGGATGCGTGGATGACATGGACACCTAGATGTGGATGACATGGACACCTAGATGACGTGGACGCCCGGACGACGTGGACGCACGCACGACATGGACACCTAGCCGACGTGGACACCTAGATGACGTGGACACCTAGATGACGTGGACGCCCAGACGACGTGGACACCTAGACGACATGGATGCCCAGACGACGTGGACACCTAGACGACGTGGACGCATGGATGATGTGGACACTTAGATGACGTGGACGCACGGACAACGTGGACACACGGATGACGTGGACACATGATGTGGACACACGGATGACATGGATGCACAGATGACGTGGACACACGAACAACTCAGATCCACAAACAACATGGACGCACGGATGACGCGGACGCACGGATGACTCGGACGCACGGGTGACTCGGATGCTTGGATGACCGCTGCTGTGCCGCTACCCCAGGGCTCTCTGGGCGTTTCCTGTGATTTGCGCACCAGGAGCCTGGGAGTCCCATGCTGCCCCTGGGGCACTGCCTCCTGGGCCCGGCCCTGCATCCGGTGGCAGCCCAGGTGCTCACCAGTCATCACCCCAACAGTGCCGGGTGGTCTCAGGGACCTCCCCCGATCATTGCCAAACTGGCTCTGGGATGTTTCTGTGTGGCCAAAGCAGACCCCAGCGTGCTGTCCCCTTGGACGCCTCCAGGCCCTGCCCGGCACATGCAGGGCTCATCCATCCTGTGCCTGACCATGCTCTGCCATGCAGGCCTTAGCCCAGCCCCCTAGCCCTGCTGCTGCTCCCCGCCCTACCCCTGCCACCTCCTCCAGGCCACCAGCATCCTGCCTGGCCCTATGGAGAGCAGTGTCCTCCTGTGTCCAAAAGTGTCTTCCTCCTCAGTCCCTTCACTCAGGCCTCATGGGGCCCCTCTGTGGCCCCCAGCACACAAGGTGTGTGCCCACTACGGGGCCTTTGCATGGCTGTGCCCTCCCCAGGCTCCAGCCCTCAGCTCCCTCAGGCTGTTTCTCAGATGTCCCTTCAGAACTGCAGCCCTTGGGCCCCCAGCCCCATTGACACAGAGCAGGCCCCCTGTTGTATCTCAGGTCACTGTGGTCGCAGCCACAGGGGCAGCACCTGTTATTGCCACAGTGTCCGACCTGGGGCCAGTGTGCACTCAAATGCACTGTTCTGAGAGGCCAGGGTGTCCATGCATGGGCTGGGTGCAGGGAGCAGCGGTGGGAAAAGGCATCAGGCCACCATGGGCCCCGACCTGGAGCCCACATTCCAGCTGCAGAGATGGGCACTGAAGGCTTTTGAGCAAGAAGAGGAGGCAACGCTGGCCCTTGGGGATGCTGTCAGGGAAACCGAGGCGACCTCGAGCCCTCGGAGCAGAGAACGGGCTGGGCCCTGCCACTTGTTTACAAAGCAGCCCAGGACTCAGGTGGAAAAATACCCCGTTTTCCACATTTTATCAGGAAGTGTTTCATACAAAGAATGTAGGTAACTGATGAAGGGGCCATCCTGTGTCCCCACAACCCTGCTGTGCACACACCACAGGTGACCCGCTCTGCCTAAGGGGACAGCCCTGGTCCCTCCGGCTCCTCCCCAGCACCGTCTCCACCCAGTGGCCTGGCCGTGGATGCTGCCGGTGGCCCCACTTTGAGACGGCCACAGCCCTGACACGTGTCCAGCCTGACGTGGAAGTTTGTCTATTTTGTGGAGTCCTAGTAGGTGCCACGTTAGTAGAATGTATGTGAGCATTTCTTTGTAAGTTCCCAAAAGCCTATGAGGGTTTTTTCCATGATTCTGTTCCCAGTTTGGCTTTTGTTGTGGCTGTTCTTGACCACCCTGGACCCCACAGTGGAGAGCGGGGGGTGCGCCCGGGAGCCTGGAGCCAAGGCCCAGCCCCTCCTGCTGTGCATTTTCCTGCCAAGCAGCACCTGAGATTCGGAAGCCGATGCCTATACAGGCAGAAACCCGCCAATTCTAGCTTGAATGACTGGACGGTCCTGAGGATGGGGATCCCTGTGGTGCCAGCATGGGCAGGGTACATCTGGGGTGCTGCCCCCCACAGGCAGGGCACCAGGGACAGGCACAGCCACGCTGGGGGCATTTCTGGTCTCGGGATCCTTCTTGGCTCTTCCGGAGGGAAGGCGGCTGCTGGGTGCCCTGTAATCTGCCTGTGAGCTGGGCTGTTCTGCTTGGTCTACAGGGGCTGGGGGCCTCGGAGAGCGACTGGGGGGCTGCATTCTTTTCACCAGCCGCACCCATCCAGCCCCATCCTGGCTGGCACTAAAGGGAGCAGAGCGACGTTACGTCCTCCCCTCAAGCCTGGTGAATGGTGGCTCCACGAGGCTGGGGTCAAATGGTGCCTATTGCTGACAGCTGGATCTCAGTCTTGCACAGGAGCACGCACCTGGCGGGGGGGGGGGCAGTGAATGAGTGTGGGAGGATGGGCTAGAGAACGAGCAAGGGAAGGGAAGGAGAGAGAGAAAGTGGGTTAGAGAGTGAGTGAGCCAGCGTATGAGTGAGTGAGTGGGAGTGGGTTAGAGAGCAAGGGAGTGAGTGAATGAGTGGACTAGAGAGGGCCGGGCGCGGTGGCTCACACCTGTAATCCCAGCACTTTGGGAGGCCGAGGCGGGCGGATCACGAGGGCAGGAGATCGAGACCATCCTGGCTAACACGTGAAACCCCGTCCCTACTAAAAATACAAAAAATTAGCCGGGCGTGGTGGTGGCGGCGCCTGTAGTCCCAGCTACTCAGAAGGCTGAGGCGTGAACCTGGCGTGAACCTGGGAGGTGGAGCTGCAGTGAGCTGAGATTACGCCACTGCACTTCAGCCTGGGAGACAGAGCGAGACTCTGTCTCAAAAAAAAAAAACAAAATTAGCCGAGCGTGGTGGTGGGCGCCTGTAGTCCCAGCTACTCAGGAGGCTAAGGCAGGAGAGTAGCTTGAACCAGGGAGTCGAAGGTTGCAATGAGCCGAGATCGCGCCACTGCTCTCCAGCCTGGGCAACAGAGCGAGGCTCCACCTCAAAAAGAAAAAAAAAAGAGTGGGCTAGAGAGTGAGCGAGTGAATGAGTGAGTGGGATAGCAAGGGAGGGAGAGGGTGAGTCGGAGTGGGTTAGACAGTGAGGGAGGGAGAGGGTGAGTCGGAGTGGGTTAGACAGTGAGGGAGGGAGAGGGTGAGTGGTTAGACAGTGAGGGAGGGAGAGGGTGAGTCGGAGTGGGTTAGACAGTGAGGGAGGGAGAGGGTGAGTCGGAGTGGGTTAGACAGTGAGGGAGGGAGAGGGTGAGTCGGAGTGGGTTAGACAGTGAGGGAGGGAGAGGGTGAGTGTCTGTCTTGGTGCTGCTGTAACAGAATACCCGAGCCTGGGTTATTTCCGGGAAGCAGAGGTTGCTCCCAGCTGTGGAGGCTGGGAGTCCGGGTCTTGGTGCCAGCAGGCTTGGTGTCTGGTGAGGCCAGATCTCTGCTTCCAAGAGGATGCCCAAACACCGCATTCCCCGGAGGGGAGACGGGAGGAAGGCCACGTGCCTTCATGGCAAAAGGCAGAGAGGAATCCATGCCCAAGCTGTCTTGACAGCTCCAGGAATCCATCTGTGAGGGCAGGGCACCCATCGGGCCCCACCTCCTACACTGTTGCTCTGGGGAATGAGTTTCTCACCGTGAATCTGGGGGGCACATTCAGACCCTGTTGTGGGTGGGTGAGAGAGCATAGCTGTGTCACTGGGACAAGTGGCCATGAGTCAGGGGAACTGAGGGGCTTTCATTGTCCTCACCTGCGTGTGTTGTGGCACCTGTGCCAGGCACCAGCGTTCTGCCCTCCCTAGCACAGGTGCATCACCAAGGCCCAGTATGCAGCGGCCAGAAGTGAGCCTTGAGCCAAGGCCCACCTGCTGGGCATCTTCCTGCCAAGCAGCACCTGAGATTCTGAAGTCGATGCCTGGATAGGCAGAAACGGCCGGCAGGAGGCTCCTGACAGATGGATCGTGCGGTACCAGTGCAGGCAGGGTGCTGTGGCCAGGTCCTGCGCCTTTATGGTCAGGGTTCCAAGATGTCATGAGACGGCTTGTTCAGCCAGTTAGCGTTGGTGCCCCTCTCAACAAGGACCCCCAGGAAGGGGGTGGCCTCACAAGGGTGGCCGGGGGTCCCGCTCCATCCCACATGTGGCCAGCGTGGCCCACACTTCCGGCGTTCCTCTCACTTCCGGCGTTCCTCTCAGCTCGACAACAATTTTTCTGACTTTGGAGATTTTCTAGCTTTTGTGTTGTAAGAAGAAACACTTGGCATTCAAATACTAGGCAGATTGAAATGCTGAGTTTCTTAGTGTTTCATTCTGTGATTCAAGTGCATGCGGAACACTCAATCTGGTAGGGATGATGCCCGCGCGGAGCTGACCCTTCTTGCCTTGTTTTTCCAAGCTGGAGAAGAAGCAGGCGCTCCCTCCATTCCAGCCACAGATCACGGACGACTACGGTCTGGACAACTTTGACACACAGTTCACCAGCGAGCCCGTGCAGCTGACCCCAGACGATGAGTAAGTCCCACTGGGTGCGGGAACCCCGGAGCACCCTCCCCGGGCAGCCCCATGGCAGGCCGGCACCTTGGGCGGCTGGTGACCCGGCCTGCCCTTGAGTCCCACCCGCCTGGCGTCCTCTCTCCGGTGGGCGTTGGGGGAGGATTATTCTGCGAATGTGACTCCCCTCCCCAGAGGGAATGAACACAGGTCATCCCCCCACCCCCTGCCGCCTTTGCCCACAGGGATGCCATAAAGAGGATCGACCAGTCGGAGTTCGAAGGCTTCGAGTACATCAACCCATTACTGCTGTCCACCGAGGAGTCGGTGTGAGGCCGCTGCGTCTCTGTCGTGGACATGCGTGATTGACCCTTTAACTGTATCCTTAACCACCGCATATGCATGCCAGGCTGGGCACGGCTCCGAGGGCGGCCAGGGACAGACGCTTGCGCCGAGACCGCGGAGGGAAGCGTTGGCAGGCGCTGCTGGGAGCAGAACGGTCCCTCACACCTGGGCCCGGGCAGGCCAGCTTCGTGCTGGAGGAACTTGCTGCTGAGCCTGTGTCGCGGTGGCCGCGGGGACCCTGCTGAGGGGCTGTCATGCAGTTTCCAAGGTGCACATTTTCCACGGAAACAGAACTCGATGCACTGACCTGCCCCGCCAGGAAAGGGAGCGTGTAGCGTCCTGAGGAATAAAAGTTCCGATGATGTGGAAGCCCCTCTGATGCCTTTTTTCCGTGAGTGGCGCCTGCCCCACGTCTCCGACGCAGCCACATGGAGGGGGGCAGGTTAGGAGCCAGCAGGACACAGGTGGGGGCGGGAGTGTAAGCGCCTGTGGGGACACACGCAATCAAGAAGTGTACAAACTCGCACCGTTTCCTAAAGCCCGGTAAGTTCCTGTGGTTGTTCCTGCAGAGCGTGTGCCCAGCCGCTGTGGTCTCAGGGTGAAGTGACACCTTAAGCAGGTGGCGGCTGGGCCAGCCAGCTCACTGGACCGATGGGGAAATTGGATCATAGAGATTCTAAAATGTGGCTCACCAAAGCACAGTAGACCAAAAAAGAGAAAAAGAAAATTGAAAACTAAATCTGCACAAATCCATTTCTGACCACACTAAGCAGTGCCTGCACGATTCCTCGTGCAACGCGTTTGACTTTTGGAAAATATTCTTACCTGTCACACAGTACTGAGAGTTAGGGAAAACTAACAGATGTATGTGTGACAGACCCCAGCCTTAAAGTTCAAAATGATGACCCTACAGACATCCGGAAATACAGGCAGTCCCCCCAGCAGCGCGGACCTTCCGCTCCCTCCTGCTCCCGGGGACACGCCCGCGCTCTCCGTCCTCCCACCCCTCCGGTGAAGGGACAGCTGCCCAGAGCCAAGGCTTCCTAGAGGCAGGTCTGCCGGCTGCCAGGGGTCAGGTGTGGCGGAGCCGTCTTCTGAGCTCTCTGGGAGGGGGGTCGCACCACCTCGTGCCTCTGAGTGGGGCCTGGTGCACAGGTGTGGAAATTGCCACGCAGCCCTCTTGGCCAGGCGGAGACCCCAGGCCTCCATGACTCAGGGGCCGCTCCACCCCACCGTGCGGCTGGTGGCTTCGGGAGGAGATACGAAAACCTCAAGTTAGGAGGTTCGCGCCACGCCTTGCCTTGCCTCAAAGTCATACCCACCAGGTGAGCGTGGTCCACCCTACACTCAGGTTTCTCAGGGCACCGCTCCATGCCTGGCGCTGAGCACGACGTGGTGGATTCACACCCGAGCCCCAGGTGCTGGGACAAGAACGGCGCTGGGCACACCCCGCCCCTCCCCCAGCTCAGGCTTCTGGGTGGAATGTGGAGATGGGTTCCAGCCACACTCCCAGCCGTAGCCAGTGAGACTCTCCTCCAAACGGAAAGTTAGAAGCCCCAGGGCAGGGTCCAGGAGCCGACCTGGGTCTCACACAGGTGTCCCAGACCAGCGTGGGGATGTCCAGGTAGCGGGGCCCAGCCTGCAGCCGCTGAAGTCACACCTGCCGGGGGAGCAGGGCTGCTGGGACCCCACCTTGAGTGGGAGACCCCCAGTGTATCCCGGAAGTGGTTAACAAGCAAACCGCTTTCCATGAGCCTCCTTGATTTGTTAAATATTTAAGGCACTGACCTAAATACTGCCGTGTTGCCAACAGCGTGCCGGTTACCAGTTGGGCTGTTCTTGTACACAATGTGAGTAACACTGTGCTCATCACAGGGGAGACTTTTCTATTCCGTCATTTGTTTTATAAATTAAAGTGAAGGATGTATTGAAGTGTGCTTTGAAAAATCCTGATATTTGCCAATGGCTCCGGTCACAACGGTGTGTCTTTTGGAAGTGATTCCTAAACTCTGGTGACTTGGGGGCTGCACGGTGGGCCTGCGTGGGCGCGGTGCGGGGCAGCTGCCCATGGAGCCTGTGGCTGACCAGCTCTCCCGTGGATGACACCCTCGATGGCCAGGGTCATTCAAAGTCTTATACATCCATTAAAGACTTTAATAAAAATGCTTACATCATTATTATTATTAAAAGCAGGTGTTTTTGGCCGTGCACGGTGGCTTGCGCCTGTGATCCCAGCACTTTGGGAGGCTGAGGCGGGTGGATTACAAAGTCAGGAGATCGAGACCATCCTGGCTGACACGGTGAAACCCCGTCTCTACTAAAAATACAAAAAAAAAAAAAAAAATTAGCCAGGCATAGTGGCAGGCGCCTGTAGTCCCAGCTACTCGGGAGGCTGAGGCAGGAGAATGGTGTGGACCTGGGAGGTGGAGCTTGCAGTGAGCCGAGACTGCATCACTGCACTCCAGCCTGGGCTAGAGAGCGAGACTCCGTCTCAAAAAAAAAAAGTAGGTGTTTCCAAGAAGCAAAGGTTTTTCAAGCCATTTTCTTTTTTTTTTTTTTTTTTTGAGACAGAGTCTCGCCCAGGCTGGAGTGCAGTCGCGAGATCTCAGCTCACTGCAGCCTCCACCTCCCAGATTTAAGCGATTCTCCTGCCTCAGCCTCTGCAGTAGCTGGGATTACAGGCATCTGCCCCACACCCGGCTAATTTTTGTATTTTTAGTTTCTCCATGTTGGCCAGGCTGGTCTCGAGCTCCTGACCTCAGGTGATCCCGCCTGCCTCGGCCTTTCAAAGTTCTGGGATTACAGGCGTGAGCCACCGAGCCCGGCATGAAGCCATTTTCTTAAGTAGGCCTATGTCAGGGCCGTTTTGGGCTCCCAGCAAAATGAGCAGAAGGTGCACATAGAGTCCCCATGCCCTGCCCACCACAGGGCACGCTGCTGACAGCTGCTGGGCCTGCCCTTGTCATCACCCCACGGCCAGAGTTCCCGCCGAGCTCGCCAGAGGCTGTCAGTCCCGTGGGTGTGGACAGGCGCGTGACTGGATTCACCACTGTGGGGCCACGCAGCGAAGTCCACGCCCCGGAGACCTCCTCGGCTCCGCCTGTGCCTTCCTAGCCCCTGCACCCTCTGATGTTTTAGGTCCTCACGGTGTTGCCTTTTCCAGGACATGCTAGGGTTGGAATCACAGAGTGTAGCATTTTCTTTCCCTTAGTGATCTGCATTTATGGCTCCATGTTTGTCGCAGCCTATCTGCAGCCATCATTGAAAGGAAAATACAGACATCTGGGTGTTCATCTTGGTTTTCACACCACGTCTGCCCCCAGGTCTGTTCCCTCGGCCACCACAGACGGGTCAGGGCTGAGCCCGCAGAGCGCGGCTCTCCAGAACCTGGGGGCTGAACAGCAGTGGACAGGAAGCGCCCTGAAGACGCTGCTCCCCGTGCTCCACTCGCACCGTGAGCCGCACAGACAGTGGCTGACAGGTCTGGGTGAACCAGATGCCCACTGCTGCTATCCTTCCTCAGAAACTCCTGGTTTCAGGAGAAGCTGCCTCAAAGCCCTGGCGGGTGATGAGGCCCTGGAGCCCCACACCACAGGGAGTCTCCGCTCCCAGAGCCCTAACAAATGACCACAGACCCGGGGCTTCAGCCAGACTCCTTGACTCCAGAGGAGGGCCCTCTTCTGTCCCACACGGTGGAAGGAGCAAGGGAACTTCCCGGGGTCTCCATTACGGGGCACTAATCCCATCAAGAGGTGCTGGCCCGACCTCCTGGCCTCTCACCAGAGGCCTCGCCTTGTGGTCACAATTTCAACCTAGGGATTGAGGAGTTCCAGGCCCACAGCCCGCAGCACGTGGTGGCAGGAGCCTTCCTTTTTCATAACTAGCTGCAGCTGCAAGTTCATTTTGGGGAATTAAAACACGACCAATGGCCGGGCGCGGTGGCTCACGCCTGTAATCCCAGCACTTTGGGAGGCCGAGGTGGGCAGATCACAAGGTTAGGAGATTGAGACCATCCTGGCTAACACAGTGAAACTCTGTCTCCACTGAAAACACAAAAAATTAGCCAGGCGTGGTGGCACATGCCCATAATCCCAGCTACTCAGGAGGCTGAGGCAGGAGAATCACTTGAAACCAGGAGGCGGAGGTTGCAGTGAGCTGAGATCGCGCCACTGCACTCCAGCCTGGGTGACAGAGCAAGATTCCATCTCAAATAAATAAATAAATAAATAAAGGCTGGGCACGGTGGCTCACACCTGTAATCCCAGCACTTAGGGAGGCCGAGGCGGGCAGATCACGAGATCAGGAGACCGAGACCATCCTGGCTAACACAGTGAAATACAAAAAAATTAGCCGGGCATGGTGGCGGGTGCTTGTAGTCCCAGCTACTCGGGAGGCTGAGGCAGGAGAATCGCTTGAAACCGGGAGGCAGAGGTTGCGTGAGCTGGGATCCTGCCACTGCACTCCAGCCTGTGCAACAGAGCAAGACTCCATATTTTTAAAAAAAAAAAAGGCCGGGCGCGGTGGCTCAAGCCTGTAATCCCAGCACTTTGGGAGGCCGAGACGGGCGGATCACAAGATCAGGAGATCAAGACCATCCTGGCTAACACGGTGAAACCCCGTCTCTACTCAAAATACAAAAAACTAGCTGGGCGAGGTGGCGGGCACCTGTAGTCCCAGCTACTTGGGAGGCTGAGGCAGAAAAATGGCGTAAACCCGGGAGGCGGAGCTTGCAGTGAGCTGAGACCACAACACTGCACTCCAGCCTGGGCAACAGAGTGAGACTCCGTCTCAAAAAAAAAAAAAAAAAACGAAAAAACGCAACCAGCTGGGTGCAGTGACTCATGCCTGTAATCGCAGCACTTTGGGAGGCCAAGGTGGGCGGATCACAAGGTCAGGAGATCGAGACCATCCTGGCTAACACGGTGAAACCCTGTGTCTACTAAAAAAATACAAAAAAATTAGCTGGGCATGGTGGCGGCGCCTGTAGTCCCAGCTACACGGGAGGCTGAGGCAGGAGAATGGCGTGAACCTGGGAGGCGGAGCTTGCAGTGAGCCGAGACCACAACACTGCACTCCAGCCTGGGTGACAGAGCGAGATTCCGTCTCAAAAACAACAACAACAAAAAACGCAACCAGAGGCTGGGGCCGGTGACTCACGCCTATAATCCCAGCACTTCAGGAAGCCAAGGCGGGAGGATTGCTCAGGCCCAGGAGTTCAAGACCAACCTAGGCAACATGGCAAGACCCCTCCATCTGTACAAAAAGTACTAAAAGTAGCTGTGTGTGGTGACACGCACCTGTAGTCCCAGCTACTCAGGAGGCTGAGGTGGGAGGATCATCAAGCCCAGGAGTCTGAGGCTGCAGTGAGCCGTGACTGCACCACCGCACTCCAGCCTGGGCGACAGAGCGAGACCCTGTCTCAAAAAAAGACAAAACCGTGACTGCACATGAGCGAACCAGGCCTGTCCACAAAGTTAGGAAAGCGAGCGGCCCTCAGCCCGTCCGCTGTCCCCCGCGGGGCGCCGGGTGAAAGGGGTCAGCTTACCCGCCTGGGGCTGTGTCCGGTTCTGATTTCACTGCAGTGAATCTGCCCTAAACCAAACGTCAGAAAGAAAAACACAGATGTTCCATCACAACACGAAGAGAGACAGAGACAGGCGCCCGCCCTGCTTTAATGCACAAGCTGGAGAGCTGAGAGGAGGGGCTTCTGCAGGGGGAGGGCGCGTCCGGGCGCTGCACACTGCGCAGGGCTCCCTGGATGGTGCTCACCACATCACGTCTTCTGTGCTTTCCGCCAAGCACTGGGCCAGGTGGCTGTCAACATCCAGCTGGGTCAGCCTGCAAGGGAGCAGCCGCACTCACTCACGGCCCCATCAGCCCAACTGGAGCGGCCGGACACGATCATCACGGGCCTGGCCAAGGTGTGGCCCTGGAAGCCAGGACAGTCGACTTCGGGCCATGACCCCCCAAGGGCGCCATAGCTGGCGTGCTCAGCAGAGCCACCGGGGACGACGTCCCGGGGCTGAGTGGGCGGCTTCAACCTAGACTCGGGCCTAGATCTTGCTGGAGGCCAAGTGGCCGGTGTCCCATCGGAGTGACCATCCCTCACACACCACTGCTGGGGGATACACCCCCACCGAGCGGCCAAGTCCACAGAAACATGTCCCTGTGTCCACCTGTCAGCCACACCGGCCTCGCTCCCCAACAGCCTCTGCCCTCAGACCAGTCCACGGAGTGCCGGTCTGCCCTTGGGCTCTGCCGTGTCCCTTCCCGTGGCTCCTGTGCCCCACCTGTATGGACACTGCAACCCTCAAGTCCCCCTCTCCAGACCATAGCTGGACCCCCACTCCCGGGGCCGGCTCCAGCGGCCATCAGCTGCCTCCTCACTCTGGCAGAGCCCACCCAGTGCCTTCTGAAGCCCCCGAGGGTCCCGCAGTCTGAGACTTTCTGGCTTCTGCCCATCCTGGGAACCAGCCCCTCCCTCCACAAGCTTTCTCTAAGGCTGCCAGAAGGTCTTAAGATGTGAACCGAGGTCATCTTGTCCCAGGGTTTCCAGGCAGTGTCCCTTGGGTGGGGGCCCTCTGAGATGCCTTCAGACCCCTGCCTGCAGCGGAAGAGCTTTGTCCCGGCCTCATCTGCCCCGTCTGTGAGGCTTCGGCTACTGAGCAGACACATCCAGGCCCTGCAGTGTGGAGGGGCCAACCCGACTGCAGGACAGTGGGGGCTCAGCCTAGAAGCCTCTGGTGGCTTCTGCGTGTGGGCAGGGGAGCAGGGCTGCTGGGTGGGCTGGCATCTGGCAGTGGGAGGGGCCTCAGGGCCGTTAAAATCCCAACGACCAGCCGGGCGCGGTGGCTCACACCTGTAATCCCAGCACTTTGGGAGGCCGAGGCGGGCGGATCGCCTGAGGTCAGTTCAAGACCAGCCTGACCAACATGGTGAAACCCCGTGTCTACTAAAAATACAAAAATTAGCCAGGCATGGTGGCGCCTGTAATCCCAGCTGCTCAGGAGACTGAGGCAGGAGGAGAATCGCTTGAACCCAGGAAGCAGATGTTGCAATGAGCCAAGATCATGCCATTGCACACTGCACTCCAGCCTGGGTGATAGAGCGAGACTCCTTCTCAAAAACCAACCAACCAACCAAACCCAATGACCAACCCAGGGCCTCACCGCATCAACAGAGACAAAACACAGCTCCAGCTCTCAGCACCCTCAACAGGTGCCCAGCTTCCCATCCACCCACGTGACCCGCAGGTGTCTGAAAATGCACAAAATGTCCAAATAGGACCACAAGAGGACCTTAAAGACACAAAGAACGTTCTACACAGTTTGTCAAATCCAGCATTTGACAGTTCTCTGGGTGACCCGGAGAACACCAAGGACGCGAGAAATGGGAGGCCTGCCGGCAGCTCCACTCCTCAGACCCGCCTCTGCCAGGGCTCCGGGCTCAGCAGGCGTCTGTGCAGGACAGGGCGACGGTTCAAGGCCAAGTCCGGCTGTTAGACCAGACCCTCCAAGCCAGGCGGCCTCCCTGCTGGGGTCCTGTCCGGTCATGAGTCCCAGGGCATCCCAGAATGGCCGTGCAAACCCTTGTTCCCAAAGACACGGAGCTTGTCTCCCAGCTAGCCTGCCCATGCCATGGCCACAGCCTCGGGTGAGTTCCGTTCCAAAGTACTGGCTCTCCCTTACAATCAAGTGTTCGAATGTGCTTGAAGCATTCCAGACACACCACGGCCTGGACCTGACTTCACTGACGCCTACTGAGGAAAAATCGAGGCAGTCTGCCAAGCTTTCAGCAACTGCTTAAAAAGCTCAAAACGGCAACTCTTTCCTCGTGAACGTCTTCAGGAGTCTTTTTTTAGACGATCTGGAAAAGCAGGCGATCCAAAGACAAAAGCGCCTACCCGGGGGGCAGGGGGCAGCGCCCTGACGGCGAGGCTCTCTGAGCTTCAGCCAAGAACGTGGATTTCTACCAGGGCTCCCAACGGCACCTTCCGTCTGTGGACTTTTTTTTTTTTTTTTGAGGCGGAGTCTCACTCTGTCGCCCAGGCTGGAGTGCAGTGGCCGGATCTCAGCTCACTGCAAGCTCCGCCTCCCAGGTTTACGCCATTCTCCTGCCTCAGCCTCCCGAGTAGCTGGGACTACAGGCGCCAGCCACCTCGCCCGGCTAGTTTTTTTTGTATTTTTTAGTAGAGACGGGGTTTCACCGTGTTAGCCAGGATGGTCTTGATCTCCTGACCTCGTGATCCGCCCGTCTCGGCCTCCCAAAGTGCTGGGATTACAGGCTTGAGCCACCGCGCCCGGCCTTTTTTTTTTTTTAGATTCAGGATCTCATTCTGTCGCCCAGGCAGGAGTGCAGTGGTGCAATCATAGTTCACTGCAGCCTCCAATTCCTGGCTTAAGGGAGTCCTCCCACTTCAGCCTCCAGAGGAGCTGGGACCACAGGCACAGGTGCCACTATGCCCAGGCGTCTAGAGATGGGATCGTGCTATGTTGCCCAGGCTGGTCTCAAACTCCTGGGCTCCAGCAACCCACCTGCCTCAGCCTCCCAAAGTGCTGGGATTACAGGTGTGAGCCACCGCGCCCAGCCCCCGGGATTTCTTTTGATGGGCAGGAATCAAGAAGTCTTCACAATTAAAACATCCCCTGCCTCAGCAGAATCAGCGTGTGGGACAGCACTGTAGTTCACGACAATCACAAAGCACCAGTGTGGGACAGCACCGTAGTTCACGACAATCACAAAGCGCCAGTGTGGGACAGCACCGTAGTTCACGACAATCACAAAGCGCCAGTGTGGGTACAGCACCGTAGTTCACGACAATCAAAAAGCGCCACTGTGGACAGCACCGTAGTTCACGGACAATCACAAGCGCCAGTGGTGGACAGCACCGTAGTTCCACGACATCACAAAGCGCCAACCCAAGGAGAGGCGTGTGCAAGCGAGCGCTGGCCTGGATATGTTTTTGAAAATGCTCTGCTCCTGGCTGCAGGCTCTGAGCACTGCCAGGGAGGCAGGGGCACTTTGCCCTGGGCCCTGCCCTTGCATCTGCTCACCCACCAAGCCCCACGTGTGTCACCCAAGCCCCTCCCTGTGCTTCCATGTGACGGAGGTGGGTGCTGCGGGTGCGTGGGCTCACCCAAACCTCAGCCCTGAAGGGGCTTGCTTCCATAATCCCCGTTTTGGAGGAGCTCGTTTCAGGCATTTCTCTTCTCTGAGATAGTACTGGTCGCCTAAAAGAACTGCCGTGTGACAGGTTTTTCGTGCTGCAGTTTTGATAACTAATCGCGAGGTCGTTTGTGCTTTTTCTTTTTTTTTTTTTTTTTTTTGAGACGGAGTCTCGCCTCTGTCACCCGGCTGGGAGTTGCGGGCCGGATCTCAGCCACTGCAAGCTCCGCCTCCAGGTTCCGGCCATTCTCTCCTCAGCTCCCGAGTGTAGCTGGGACTACAGCGCCCCACCTCGCCCGGCTAGTTTTGTTGTATTTTTAGTAGACGGGGTTTTCATCCGTGTTAGCCTAGGATAGTCGTCGATCTCCTGACCATCGTGATCCGCCCGCCTCAGCCTCCCAAAGAGCTAGGATTACAGGCTTGAGCCACCGCGCCCGGCCTTTTGTTGTTGTTGTTGTTGTTGTTGTTGGCTGCTAACTTTGGACTCCGGTCCCCTTCACATTCCTGAGCTGTTTTGGCTTCTAGAAGACCAGGGGCATCAGGCATGACTGAAGGACCCGGTCTCCTGGCCATGTGAGATCTGAAACCTGCCGCCCATTAACTCAACCAAAAGTTACGAACCAGCATCATTCACACGGCGCCGGCCCCAGGTGCCTGCTCAGGAGGCCAAGGGCCCCGAGGTCGCCAGACACGAGCCCAGGCACTGGGCAGTTTGGGCTATCTTCTTAGTAAAACTGGGTTCCATTCCCCTTTACTTAAAAATATATATGTAAGTATACAGTGGGCTTCAAAAATAAGAAAAAGCATCTCCAGACAAAAAAGATGATCTTCATTTTTAAAACCCATGACCCACTCTGGGGAAGGTGTTCCCGTGCTCTGGGCCTGGGGACGCTGGTGCCACCAGCTTCCAAGATGGCCAGGTGGACCGGGGCCAGTGCTCCCCAGCCTGCCTTCTGCGCTGTCTGTGGGCCCCCAGAGCACGGAAAGCAGGGGGACGCCAGACCCGTGACAGACAGCCACCCGGACATGCCAGGCCACAGCACTGGGCCACGTTTCCACGTGTGAAACAGGGCTTTAAAAGCCAGCGCTGAGCTCGGCCACCTCTTGACCTTCTGAACGGCTGTGGTTTCCAAACACGGATGGATAACGGGGCGGGGCACAGGGTGGCGCACTCACCTGGGGCCGAACTCTTTCTGGCACATGGGGCAGCGGCGCAGGGCGGTACCCTCCACGGACGGCTGCTGCTCCACCCTGGGGGCCCTGCAGGGATCAGGTGCCGGGCGCTGGGGCAGGGACCTGGCGGGGGGCTCCAGGTGCCCTCCTGCCCCGCGAAGCAGCCGGTAGGAGCGGCCCGGGCTCCACAGGTCTGGCGGAAAGGGCGTCCAGGAAAAGGTCTTGGGTCCGACAGTGAAGGCTTCAGTGGGCTCCGGGCCGCACCTGGGCTCCTGCAACATGGAGTTGTTGGGCCTCGCCCAGCGGCGGCGCTCGCCCTGGAAACCCCTCCCCCGCTGCCATGGGCCCGGTGGGCACACCTGTCCAGGGAAGGCGGGCAGTGGAGGCACCTCGTGGTCCAGGGTGAGCTCTGGGCTCACCGTGCGCAGCAGCTCGGCCCAGAGCCGCTCCCGCTCATCACCCCCCAGGAGAAACCAGGGGCGGCCGCCAGAAGGCCTGGGGCGGACAGAAAAAGGAGACGGGGTACTCAGCCGGGGAAACGCTATGGTAGGGGGGACCTGGGAGGGCCTGGGGCAGAGACAGCGGGGAGATGGGGGGTACCAGAGGGAAATTCGATGGTGGGAGAGGTGGGGGGCAGGGTTGGGGGAAGGGCTGCTGGGGCAGACAGTGAGGAGACAAGGGGTACTGGGGGCGGGGGGGGGTGGGTGAAAATGTGGGGTCCTCAGCGGGATGAGGCGATGGCTGGGGAGATTGCGGAGGGCCCAGGGAAGATAGAGTGGGCAGATGGGGGGTGCTCAGGGGAGACGCGATGATGGGAGAGGCGCGGGAGGGCCTGGGGCGGCGCGAGGGAAGCTCGGGGGAAGCTCGGCATGGGGTGGGGTGCTCAAGGCGGGCGCTGAATGGCGGTGCGGGGTGGGGCGACGGGCGTGGGGGGTAGGCCCGGGGGCGGGAAGCCCTCCCCAGGGGAAGAAGACAGCGGGAGGCCCGCGGGGGCGCCGGGAAGCACGTGGCAGCGGGAAAACCGGCCGCGCCCCCACCCGGCCCTCGGCCTCACCCGCCCGCTGGGGGCGGCCTCCGGCGGCTCAGCCCCAGCCGCGGCCTCCGCGCCGCTTCCATCCGAGCCCGCGCGCCGGGCGGAAGTGAGCGCAGGCCCCGCCCCCGCCCCAGGCCCCGCCCCAGGCCCCGCCCCCAGACCGCTGCAGTGAGGCCGCCCCCTCCGAGCCACTCGGAACCCCAGGGGCCCTGATCCCAGCCTGTAGGGAAACTGAGGCCAGGGTTCCTTCGTCCTGCACCGCAGAGGGGGGCCTGGCGTGAGGGTGGGGGGCCCAGGCGTGTGGGGCGGGAGGTCAGCTGGGGGAGCCCCGCCCGTGTCCCCTTTCCCGTCCAGGCAGTCCCGGGCCGGAGCCCCCTCCGTTACCCCGATGGCTGCCCGCCCCGCCCCGGCCCGGCCCTGCCCTGCCTCCTCCGGGCTGCACCCAACAGCTCCCGCCCCCGTTTCCGGCTCTGCGGAGCCGCCTCTCCTCCCAGGACCACTCCAGGAGTAAATAAAGCTTGAAATCCGCCGTCGCCGCCACCGTTTCTTTACAAAAGGCGTAGAACTCAAGCTCCTTAACCAAGAAACAAGAAGCGAAGTGACAAAGTCCAGGTGGCTCACTTGGGCCTCAGGGGCCTGGGCCAGGGCTCTGGGGGCAGCTGAGGGGCTTTCCTGCCTGGACCCTGGGCTCTGCGACCTCAAAGTCCGCCACGTGGTGGCAGCAGACGCCCAGGCACCCTCGTGCCACACCTGGTTGTGCCCAGTGCCTCATGGGCCCAGACCACTTGCCTCTCCCTTGGCCCTGCTGGGCTCTGGAGTGGCTGCCACCCTCATGGAAGGGCTGGGGTCTACAGGGATCAGGGTCAGGGGCCCTCGCTAGATGCCACTCAGGGCTCTGGGACTCCTTGGCAGTTTCAGCCGTGCCCTGCCCCATCAGCTTTGGGGCCATGCTGGGCAACCCTCCTGCAGGGCTCCCTCGCTGTTCCCACCCCTCACCTGGCCCCTCCCAGCCCCCAGTCGTCTGTGCCCTCCCTCCAGAACTCAGCTGTGGGGCCCCGCCCTGAACCCAGGCCACCGGAGTGGTCCACCGTCCTTCAAGTGGCCCTGGCCTGGAGGCCATGGGTTGGCGTTCAGGGAAGGGGTCAGCAGCAGCACCTAGAGTGGGGAAGGTGCCCCTCTCCCTGCATGAGTGGTTTGCTTCAGCACACGTTCCTGTTCTAGATGCTGGAGGCCCCCAGCAAAACAGGACGGAGGCACTAACCCCCAGGCCCTGCGACTTGAGTGAGCAAATGGAGATGTAGTGCTGAGTGCTGCCCGGGTGTGGGGAGGGGACCTGGGGGAGCTGCTGCAGGCAGTGTGGTCTCAGGGGCCCTGTGGGAGGTGTCCTGTGGCTAGGCCCGTTCTCAGGGGAGAGAAGCCCAGCCGTGGGGTCTCCACAGCCCCACGTCCACCACATGGCAGGTGCCAGCTGACCAAGAGCTCCCAAACAGCCAGTGTCCAGGGCTCCCCGGCAGTCCTGGCTGCCCTGGCTTCAGCTCCGAGCTTCTGGGTCTTTCCTGGAAGTATAGTCCCAGCCTCCCAAGAAAGGCGGAAAAGCTAGGCCCAGTGGTTCATGCCTGTAATCCTAGGACTTGGAGAGGCCCAAGCAGGCAGATTGCTTGAGCCCAGGAGTTTGAGACCAGCCTGGGCAACATGGCAAGACCTTGTCGCTATAAATAAAAAAATTAGCTGCGCATGGTGGCATGTGCCTGTGGTCCCACCTACTTGGGGGGCTAAGGTGGGAGGATCACCTGAGCCCAGGGAGGTGGAGGCTGCAGTGAGCCAAGATCATGCCACTGCAGACCCCATCGCAAAAAAAAAAAAAAAAGCCAGGTGTGGTGGCTCAAGCCTGCAATCCCAGCACTGTGGGAGGCCAAGGCGGGATCACTGGAGGGCCAGGAGTTCGAGACCAGCCTGGCCAACATGGAGAAACCCCATCTCTACTAAAAATACAAAAAGTAGCCTGGCATGGTGGCGCAGGCCTGTAATCCCAGCTACTTGGGTGGCTGAGGCATGAAAATCACTTGAGCCTAGGAGGCAAAGGTTGTGGTGAGCCAAGATCACACCACTGCACTCCAGCCTGGGCGACACAGCAAGACTCTATTTCGAAAAACAAAAAACAGACAAGAGAAAGGCCCTTGAAGACAAGTGTTTGTTTGCTCAGCTCTCTGGGCCACGCTGGGATGGGGATATGTTCTTGCCCCTTCTCTCCCTTCCCCGCTCTGGCTCCCCAACCCCAGGGTTCCACTGTTGGACCCGGGGGTGGTTCCTGCCTCCTCCTCCTCTATGGCCCCCACATGGTCCAGTGCCCTCCTGCCGCAGGACCGGCTGGCCTCCGGATGGGCTTCAAGCCCCTGGGACTCATCTCCTTCCCTGCCTGGGTCCCTTGGGCAGAGCCTGGGAACCTCAGGCCCCTGCCCTGTCCTGGAGGACCATGTGAGGGACACCCGTGTGCAGCTGCTGCTCCAGAACAGAGGCCTTTCTGGGAGGGAGGACCAAGCCCCTACCCCTGGGAAGCCAAACACTAGAGCTCTGCTGGGGTCTTCAGCATCCTTCCGGCCCCTTCCGGCCCCTCCCGGCTCCCGCATGCAGGTGTCCTGGCCACTGGGCCCAAGAGGGGCAGAGCAAAGCAGGAGCAGGGAGGCGTCTCAAGTGGCCCAGACCCGGGACACCTGCACTGCCTGGCTGGCACGGGCTGCTTGGGAAGCTCTCGCTGCAGGTGCCCCAAGGCTAGGAGGCACGAGCCTGCAGGGGACCTCGGGGCTAGCTGAGCCTGGCTCCAGCCTGCAGCACCGAAGCTGGGGGGCCCCCATCCCCTTTGGTCTTAGTCACCCCAGTGGGCCTCATTTACCCTTGGCCACCAGGGAAGAGGAGCTGGGGCCCCGTGCCAGTGCCATGTGGCAGAAAGCAGGGCCTCTGGGCCTGGTGCTTTGGGGACGCAGAGGCAGCACAACATGTCACAGTTGTCCTCCTGGGGGCTCTTCCCTTCCGGTTTATCTGCTGCTCTGGATTAATTTCCCCTCCTCTCATGTCACCACGGGCGAGGGGGCAGTGGGGCAGGCCCCTGTGACCTACAGCCAGGGATAAGTCCACAGAGAAAGGCACTGGGGTGACCTCTGCTCTGGGCACATGGTGGGTGCCTCCACTTGTCAGGAAGCCTGACCCCCAATCCCCTCCCTCCTGACAGCTCTCCCGACAGCTGCCTGCCAGCCAAGGGCCTGGAAGGGGATCGGCCACTCAAGACTCTCAAGACAAGGAAGTGTGTTCGCCTCCAACAAACACACCTCGTCCCGCCTGTCCCCAAGTTATCAGCAGACACAGTGGTGCTGGTGCTGGTGCTGGTGGAAGTTTCCAAGTTGAGCCTGGTGAAAAGGCTCTACTTCTTCAGAGCCAGCTGCTACTGTGGTGACAGGGAGTTCTGCTTTATTGGAAAATAATTTCTGGTTGGAACTGACATGTGCAGTGTGGAAATGAGTTTTTGCTAAGCCGAAATTCATGTTTACAAAAAAATGTTTCAGCCGTGGGAGTTTGCACCCCAGGCAGAGCCGAAGCTGCTCAAGTGGGCGGGGGCATCGGAGCCGCCCATCTCGTACTGCCACACCTGCAAACCGGTGGGCGAGGAGGCCCCTTACCCTCTGTGGCATAAAAGGACACATTTATGGATGATGAATCAGGCCCCAGCCCACTGAGCTGGTTTCAGAAGCCCGGTGAGGTCTGCTGGTTGCAGGTCAGGGAGCCAACCCTCTCCAACTCCTTCCACCACGAAGGAACAAGTGTCCCAGCCACTGGCATCCTCAGAGTCCCCCGGATGATCGTCTCTGCCCAGCGCTCACACCCTGCAAATCAGGCTAAGACAGCAGTGACAGGCCCGGAGGCTGGCAGGCCTAAGCAGCCCGATGGCAGTGCACCCTCCCAATTTCCCAGTGAGACGTGTGACCAGCAGGCACCCTGGGTACATGCTGAAGGCACTGGGCTGTCTCCACTCCTTCCCACGTGGCAAAACGGCCTGGCGCCCAAGCACAGTGCCCTGGCAATGCTCGCCTGCTGGCAACAACAGCCAAAACGCCCGGGCAGCCTTCCGACACAGCCAGGAAGCGGGCTGTGCTCCGCCACACCTGCTGGCCCATGGATGCCAGGCAGACACGCCCACCTGTAGCCAGATGTGGTGGCATTTACGGGATACGGGAGTGCCAGGCAGATAGGTTGTGTGAGACAGTTGCCTGGGAAACATCACCAGATCCTTGGGGCAGCAGAGCAGGTGCTCAGGCCCACACATGGGTGCGAGAGTAGGGGTGTGCCTTGGTGCCCCTGGGCACCCCCAGCCTCAGTGGCGGAGTCATGGCACAGACCCGCCCCCAACCCCAAGAGCCGGAAAGCCAGTAGTAGCTGGGGAGGGCCCTGGCCCGAGAGACAGTGGTCCTGTTTCTGAACCCCACCCCAGCCATGGCCTGTCTCTGGGCCAGCATTCCCCACCAGACAGGGCCAGCTGCCCTCTCTCAAAGTCCCCAGCACCCCTTCAAGCACTCTCCTGTTCACACCCTCCCACAGCCTGTCCTCTATCCCCATGTGTCAGGCTCAGCCCCCTGCCCCCTCAGCCCCCAACCAGGGGCGGGCTTTTGTCAGCCCCAGACCCTGCTCTGACGTCCCCTCCCCAGAGAAGCTTCGCCAGCCCAGCCCAGCCCAGGCTTCTCTCTCCACCCCACTGCCCTGCTGGGAAATTGTGAGCTCAGATGCTGGTTGGTCTTCCTAGGAGGGCGGTCCTGTGTGCTCTGTTCCCTGGGAAGCCTCGCAGAGTGCTTGGCACCAAGGAGCCGGTCAGGCAGTGGAGACCTCTCAGGGCACCCCTCCTCTGGGGAAAACAAGTCACAGAAATCAAGCTGGGGGAGTGCTGTGGGTTGAGCAGTGTCTCTGAAGACTCATGTCCACCAGTACCTGAGGAAGTGGCCTTGCTCAGAAGCAAGGTCTGCACTCATAGAATCAAATCAGGATGAGGCGATACTGGGTTAGGGTTGGCTCTGAATGCAGTGTGACCAGTGTTCTTGTAAGAAAAGGAGAATTGGCCAGGTGTAATATCTCACGCCTGCAATCCCAGCATTTTGGGAGGCCGAGGCGGGCAGACCACTTGAGGTCAGGAGTTCAAGACCAGCCTGGCCAACATAGTGAAACCCCGTCTCTACTAAAAACTACAAAAATTAGCTGGGTGTGATGACGGGCGCCTGTAGTCTCAGCTACTCGGGAGGCTGAGGCAGGAGAATCGCTTGAACCCGGAAGGCAGAGGTTGCAGTAAGCTGAGATTGAGCCACTGCACTCCAGCCTGGGCAATAGAGCAAGACTCCATCTCAAAAAAAAAAAAAAAAAGAGAAAAAGAAAAGGAAAATTGGCCAGGGCCAGGTGCTGTGGCTCATGCCTGTAATCTCAGCACTTTGGGAGGCCGAGGCAGGTGGATCATGTGAGGTCAGGAGTTCAAGACCAGCCTGAAAGACATGATGAAACTTCGTCTCTACTAAAAATATAAAATTAGCTGGGTGTGGGTGGTGGGTGCCTGTAATCCCAGCTACTTAGGAGGCTGAGGCAGGAGAATTGCTTGAACCCAGGAGGCGGAGGTTGCGGTGAGCCAAGATCATGCTGTTGCACTCCAGACTGGGCGACAAGAGCAAAACTCCATCTTGGAAAAAAAAAAAGAAAAGAAAAAGAAAAAGAAAAGAAGGGAAAATTTGGACACAGAGTCACAGGAAGGAAGCTTGGGGTTGGGGGTGGTACAGCCGCAAGCCAGGGAATGCCAGGGGCCCAGAGCCGGAAGGGGCAGGAAGCAGCCGCCCAGAGCCTTTAGAGGGAAGGCCACCCTCCCAACCACTGATTTTGGACTCCAGCTGCCTGAACTGTGACAGGATAAATGTCGGTCGTTTTAGGCTCCCAGTGTGTGGTCATTTTTTCACAGCAGCCCCGGGAGACACGCAGCAGGCTCCCAGCTTTCCAAGCCACCTCGCACCAAGTTCAGCTTGAAAACACTGAGCCCGGCCGGGCGCGGTGGCTCAAGCCTGTAATCCTAGCACTTTGGGAGGCCGAGACGGGCGGATCACGAGGTCAGGAGATCAAGACCATCCTGGCTAA